GCAGGAGACATCTAATTTTATTAAAAGTTTGCATCCAGATGAGACTAATTCTGGCGCAGAGCTGCCAGAAGTGTAGTTTTTATTCACAGGCAGAGCTCTGAGGTACTGATAGCCTATAAAGTCAGAATGTCATTTGGATTGATTTGAGTAACAGAATGTAAGGCCGTAAATATTTTTGTGTAAAAGGGAAGATTTTTTTCTAGATACAGGTGGTGAGCAAAGTTACCAATTGGACATTCATTGAATTGCACGTAGAGGAGAAACACACAGTGATATTTGAGAAATAAAAAATGGATTGATTTATTCTTTCAATTTCTACTCCACAAATGGTAGTTGTCTGGGCTAGGCACTCTGGTTTAGTCGTATAAGAAATGGTCATTGTTCACGAACATGTAATGTGCCTCTAAGAGTGGTAAAAATGAGTTGCTGAAGTGGTGAGAGTTGGTGTCTGTCTTGGAAATTCACAATTTACTACTGTCTGCCGAGCATTTACGTTCCTGGCTTACTGGAGCACACTCCTGTGCAGACAATTACACAGAAGTTGGATTACTAGAGGAGCGTGGTTTAATGACAGCACCCATGTCCGCTACAACAGGCTGTCTCCTAAATGTATTTCATTGGCTTCAGTGGCATCCACTGTGTGCCACGGGGTTATTCACTGTGGAGGGAGTGCACTTGAGGCGAGGGGTCCAGGAACCAGACTCCCTTCCAAAGGTTTGACCAGGAGAGGATCAGAAGACCAACAGACACTTGGTCCTGCGTGATGTGATCATAAAACTTGGACCTTGCTGCTGGCAACACACCGGGTTTCAACACACAGAGTTCAGGAAGTGTTCGGTATGGACAGCAGGCAAATTGCCAGGCACAAATGTATCGTCTGCAGAGAGGCAAAGCAGGCCGAGGGGGTCGCGTCCGCTGGAGGCCCCCAAACACACCAGGAAGGTGCCTCGTAACTTCGGCTCGGTGGAAGCTGATGGATGTGCTGAAGAGCAGAATGGGACCCTATAGGTTTAATACATCAGTAACAATGTGTTCTAAGTTAAAGAAAAGCAGAATAAATATAGCTCCTTTTGCAAATGTTAGGTTTTGATGTGGGAAAGCAGTGAGACCAATTAAGTACCTTTCCCTGGCTGATATCAGACATGGCAATTACTAGCCTAAGAACGTGCATGTGACTGAAACCCTTGGTGCTATTGTAATTCCAGCAAGTGTCAATTTAGAGTAAACAGTGCGATCTCTATAAAATGTAAAAATGACACTCACCAAGAGGACTGTGTTTCATATAAAGGTGATGATACGGAATATCTCTAAAAGGTGAAGAATAGCATCTGAGTGAACTACTTTTAAATGTATATGAGGAACCTCTCTGTATTGTACTTTTTAATTGGAGGAACATAAATGAATTGAAAAGATGAAAGGAACTTGTGTAACATCTCACTTCAAAGGGTAGCTCTACTCTGGAGGAGAGGTTAAAAAAAAAGGAAAGAAAAGCAGCTTATTTGAGAAATCTACTTTCTCTGTGGATTCGTTTTCTCTTTTACCTGCTTTAGAAACTAAGGGACGACTTCTGCTTATTTGCCCTAAACGGAGGAGGTGCGCTCGTGTAAAGGAGTGAAATCTGGCTCATCGTCAAGTTACTTTTGTGTTTTAGCTGAGCTTTGTGCTGACTTGGCAATGCTGTCAGATGGGGTGGGTTAGATTTGTCCTTGTGCATCAGTGGTGGGGTATTTAACCAAAGTTACACATCTCTGGGTGGTGCTTGGGGCAGAGGAATTGCACGTGCTCGCTGGCTCAGAGGTTGGATTTTCCCTTGTGGGGGCAAATGGATGGGCTCATGACTTAAGTCAATCCTGTCCGATTCCAGTATTTTTGTGGTTAATAAAATTTTACCCAAGTCCTTTACTAAAGTCCTCTCTTTTCACCATGAGTTGTTCTTTTCGCCCTTAAGCACCGTCTTTACACTCACTTGTCCTGGACATGACTTTTGTCATTGCATTTCCATGTAAAGGTGATTGAGGTAACGAGGGGAGGGGGTTCAGGAGTGCCCAAGGATGTCTCAGTTTCTTTCCTCAATACAGTTGTCTAGAAACTGGCATTTGGATGCCGAAGCCCAACAGTAGATGTCACAACCACCAAGAGAACAAGGATTCAAGGAAACACTAGCTATTTTCATCACTAGGAAGACCTAAAAGTGGGATCTGTCTCTGTACAAGAGACAGACTGGTGACTTGAAAGGAAATTGTGCTTCGAGAAGGTCTTGTGGTCTAGAGGTCTTGTGCTTCTAGAGGCAGGGGGCTTGTTTTTTATTTATTTATTTATTCCGTGGGCTGTTTAACCCATTTGACAGATAGCAGGTTGATGTGAAATGCTTTCTTAAGGTTTTCTAAACACAATTAGCCAAGCAACTGAGCTCATCTCAGCTGTGATTTAGCGGAATCAATTATAATAAGATCCAGATAAGAGAGAGAAGTTTGTTGTTTCTTGAGCTGGTACTCTGCAGTAATATAGTTTCTGTGGCTCCTTTGTAGATCATCAGCTGAAGGAGACTCGTTACTACTTCAGGAAATGGCTGCTAGACCAGCATTCAAATGAACTTCATCCTAAACTCATTACTGTAGCACTGAAACTGACATTGAGTGGGGAAACAATTCATTTGAAGCATCATTTACGTCAAACATAAAAGTCACTATTGAAGTCAATGTATTTTAATGCAAGGAGCATGTTTGCGCTTCTTCCTAAGATGTGGTTAAATATTCTGAGAGGAAGCTCCCCATGTCCCAGAAGGGGAATAGCTACCCCTCATAGCATCACGGTGTGCCTTGGCCCCAAGTAAAACAGCCACAGCAGTTGAGAGTTCATTTGCTAAATACTAGAATTTATGGATGATTCCTGTAAACTTCTCAGGGGATAAAGGAAGCTTAATGGCTTAGCTTGAAAAGCGGCAAGTACAGGGGAGATTACAGCTTAAACCAAAATTGCACAGGAGGTGTTCAGTAACCGCAGAGAATGTGCCCGAGTCAAGTGCCCTGGCCCAAGCGTCAAGACACATAGTCTAGGAATTATGGCCCATTAACAGTGCCTCTATCAGGCACAGAAATCTAAGCGATACGCAGATGGAGTGGTGCATCTGGGCAGTGCACAGGCTGGAGAGGAACACTGCAGAATTTGTATCTAAATTACAAACAGAGACTTGCCCATATCTTTGTTTGCAGGCACTCAGGTTTGGGCAAGTATTTTTGTCATCATTTAACATTGCTTTTATGGCTTCTGGTTCTTGTAATGGAGCTTGCAGCAGACACACTTTTATGATCAGAAAGAATAAATAATGCCAGAGTGACGAAGCGATGCAGTGTGTGTGCTGCCGCGGTGACTGTGCTATTCCAGAGCATAACGTTTGGCCCCAAAAAAACACAATTCTGTTTGCTTTCTGTCTTCTTTTTTTTTCTGAAAAGAAAGAAATTCCTAAGGTCTGGACCGTTGCAGTGAAAATCTTTCAGGACTTTAAACAGCATGGTTGCTTTGTGTTGCTTAGCCATGGCTGTACTGCAGTTGTCTGTTTGGGTAATAATCACAGTTAATGAACAAAAATCCGATGTTAATTTCCTCTTTTACTGTAAGTCAGATTCTGCCTCCGAAATCTCTGCTGCCACCTTTGATCCTCTTGTAAGTGCTTTTCTCTCCTGACGATGATAAGGGTGTTGTGCAGTCTCCCTGATGGGCTCGGTGCCAGCCTCTCTGCTCTGGGCTTTAATTCCCGCTGTTTCATTGCTTTCCCAGCCACCGTCAGGCAATGGCTGGGGCAGATCAATTCCCCCTCGTGACTCCTCTCTGCAGTCTCTCCTCGGCAGCTGTGTGGGACATTTCCTGCAGCCTATGCAAATCTTTGGTGCTTTTCTACATTTAATTTCCTCTGCCTTCTCTTCCCCTTCTGCTCTCCAGCCCCAGTTTTCCTGGGTGTTTGAATTCGATATTTCCCCCTGAGGTCCTCATCCAGAAGTTTGTGTTGCCATTTCATGTCATACGAAAATATTACTAGTATTAGTTATCTCTCAAATCGCTAGCGGCCACTTTAAGTTTCATCACTGAAAACCAGGGACATTTCAAGTTCAAGGTGAATGACCTTGGCCATTAATTATTTTAGACAATTAGGCAAGAGGCAGAAATTCCTGAGGGCTGTGCAAACCTAAATAACTGTTTTGGACTACTCTTCCTCGTCGCAGTCCACTGCTTTTGTCTTCCCCTTTGGTTTGCAGCAATTTACTGCCACTTTTTGTCTT